GCGTAGGCCCTATCCTGTCGTAGGGGCTCGCGAGAGGTATGGCTGGCGCACCCGGCCGGAGCGGCTTGTGAAAGCTCCATGTACATCTGCGACGAAGGGTCGTAGAGACCAACTCCTGTGTGACGCGGCCGGGAGGGTCCCGCGCTGCCCCCGTGCGGTGCCGGACCGATCGCGCCCGACAGGTGGCGCCGTTGCCGGGGATAACGGTTGCCTGCCGTTGTCCCTGGTGGAACGACATCCGGGTATGAGAAGTGAACGAGAAAAGGCATAGAGGAATGATGAGAAGGTAAGGACGGATAATGAATGACTAGGTGTAGGTGAGGAAATTTACCTACCCAAGTAGAGGAAGTATGAGGGAAGCGACTATCTTAGGGTTCGTCTATAGTGAGAGAGGCCGAAGGCCGGATGTGAAGAAGACGGACAAGATTACTGAGTGGCCAGTTCCGTTCCACTCAATAACTGATGTCAGGAGCTTCCTTGGCACGTGTGGATTTTGGAGGGCCTTCGTCAAGAACTTTGCCGCTAAGACTGAACACCTGAGGAATTATTTTGAGAGTGGATCCGACCGCCCTGGCCTACTCTCTAAGGTGTTCGGTCTTAGCGGCAAAGTTCCTTGGCACGTGTGGATTTTGGAGGGCCTTCGGCAGGAGGTTTATTTTGAGAGTGGATCCGACCGCCCTGGCCTACTCTCTAAGGAATTACGTTACATCGGATCCAACGGTTGCCAGATGGCTGACGTACATCTGGACGTTCAATTTTGAGTTGGAACGGATTCCTGGCAGCAAGAACCGGGCGGACGGGCTGAGTCGGATCAACTGGGATAGACAGGAAGGGGAGGCGGTGGAGAATACACCCCCAGTTGATGGATTTCTGGAYCAGGAAGAAGATGTTCGTCTCCATATCAATAAGTGGTCGCCGCGAGTGCCCAGCTGTGTAGGCTATCCTATCTGGCGAGCGCCGAAYGGATATGAGAGGAGGACCGAGCTAGTCCTCAAACCTTTTAAAGAAGAGGATCCCTGGGGCGGTAAGGATGTTCAGTGGATGATCGATTTAGCGCTGACCAGCTCGCACAGTCTGGTGGAGGATATGAGGACGATTGAGGAAGGACTTGGCCAGGTAGAACGGCATGAGGACCTGATGGGAGGAATGTATCTCCTCGTCAATACGTTATTGCAGGAAAGTCTAGACCAATCAGGGTCGTTGAACCCGGCAGGGAATGTGAACGAAGCGCCCGAGAGCCAGGACGACGAGTTCGGGGAAGGGGAAATTAAGGAGACATTTCGTGCAGAGGAGTACGACGGGATCTACCTAGAGCTGGGGCTTCTTCTGTCATGTGAGATGCGGCTTAGGGATGCAAGTGATAGAGCTCAGAGGATGATACAGCGGTATCTAGTGCGAGACGACCACCTTTTCGTGAGAAGAGAAGTGGGAAATCCTAGGAGAGTCGTCTGCGGTAGGAATCGTCAGATCGATGTCATAGCTGCGCTTCATGATGGCATTGCAGGAGGGCACCGAGGGATACAAGCTACGTACGCCAAGATAAGTGAGCTCTACTACTGGGATGGAATGATGGATATGGTCGGGAAGTTCTGCCGATCGTGCGTACCTTGCCAGGAAAGGTCCCGTTTAAGACAAGGAGAGCCGCTGCATCCAAGGCTAGAGCGAGAGGTGGGGGTCGTAGTGCATCTCGATCTGTTTTTTATGCCGTTTGGGGATCAGGGCTATAACTATATCTTCGATGCGCGCGATAACCTGTCTGGGTTCGTGGACGGGCGTGCTATTCGCACGAAGACCGGGTGAGTCCTAGTGAATTGCATTGAGGAGTATTACTTGCGCTATCCTTTCGTCAGGGAATTCGTAATGGACAGGGGATCGGAGTTTACTTGCCAGGAAGTGCAAGAACTTTTATCCAGGTATGGTGTGGCAGCCAACTACACTACGGCTGCGCACCCCCAGGCAAATGTTCCCGTGGAGCGAGGACATAGTACCATTACGAGTCTCCTGGCTAAATGGACGGAAGGTAGGCCTAATCAATAGCCAAGATACCTAAGGGCGACTTTCTTTGTCGAGAATATTACAGTAAAAAGATCCACCAAGTACGCACCGGCGACACTGTGGTACGGAAGGCACGCCACCTTTCCTATCGAAAGCTTTCTTAAGACATGGAGGCGCCAGGATCTGGAAGTTAACCTGTCATTTGAAGAATTGCTCGATGTTCGGGCGCGACAAATAGGGGCGATAGAGGAAAGGATCCAGGAGGCGTCTGACCAGGTGGCGAGAAGCCGTATGGACGATAAGGCTCGATGGGATCAGTCTGCGCGGGTGAG